GCCGGGGGCGTCGGGCTGGAAGGGGGCGGGGCTGAGGGGGGGCGGGGTCAGAACGTTAGGACGGGGGGGGGTAGGTGTCTCTGAGAAGGGGCGTGGTCTCAAGTGGGCGAGGCGTGCGGGTGACCGTCCTCCCAGCTGTGCCTTGCGCTTGAGGAGCCGCTTAGGAGCGTCCTGCTGGTGATTGGCCTTTCCGCGCTCCCGCCGGTCGCAGCTCCCTCGCTCCACGGTTATCGCTGGGCAGCCGCAGCCCAAGTCTATGAGCTGGCGGTGGAGTGGCCCAGTAACCTGCAGAGCTGCCCCCAAGCAGCCCCTATATGCCACCCCTCACCTCCCATAGCGTTTGTTGCTCAGTCAGGGACTACTGGCCACTGACTTCCCCACTGGGGATGTTCTCCCCCCACCCCAAAGGTGGGTGCAAAGGAGGAGAAATGTGTTGAATGTGGAGGTAAGACAGAGGCATGTCTCTGCCTGGGCTGCACAGGTTTATATGCAATGACACAGAAACGTGCACTGTATGTGGTGGAGGGGCACGTGTTTTACAACGACAGGGTTCTACTTGGTTTAGTTAATGCATGGGAACTTATCACAAGGGAAAATCCTGTTTCTCTTGGGGAAAAAAAACAGTCTTTTTATGTCAGTAAAGATATAACCAAGTTGGTGTGGAGTGGTGTTGATGGGCATATTATATTTCTGAAACTGGTAATATTATTAAATATTGTTTAAACAAACAGCATCCTTTTAAATTAATAAACATGAGGATTTTAAAAAGGTAATAACAAAGTTTTGACCCTAGTCCATTAAAAACTACTTGTAAAGAAGAAATTATGCTAGAAGTAATCCATTAGCTCCAAAGAGGCACGGTACCCTGTTTTGGCCCTGCTTCTGCATTAGTAGTTAGCACAGACTCTTCTGCTTATGCATTCATAAACACATTAGCAGATCCTAATGCAAGATTTTCCTCTTTCTTATCACATTTCCATTGTATATTAATTGTCATCTTTTACAAGCATTATTTCCACATAATGGCAAAATGATATTCGCTTTCCTTGTTTCAAATTACACTTGATCTCTGGCTGCCTGCCAGATAAGCCTAAACAAACAAATGGTATAGTTTCCTGGCAAAGTCCATATGTAACTCATTAACACTGAGATTTAATTGCACGTATACTTCAGAATATCCAGTGTCTACTTCCCACTGTACATAGACACACAAATTGTTAGATATGATTTCCAATGAAGGGTGTTTTAGTCACTCTTTGGTTGTTATTGTCATCTTTTTATTTGAGCTTCCATTTTGTCTGCATTGAGAGACAATATACACAGACCAAAGGTCAAAAATGAAATGGAATGTGAAGGGGAACTTCTCCCCATAAACTTAGGTTCACTTTCATGAATGCAGAAGACACAAAGATGACGTAGTTGTAGATAAGGTGACTTACTTTAATAGGCTCAGGCATAATGTGGGCTTGTATTAATGAAACAACTCAGAAAAAAACTACATAGCAAAGCTGGAGAAAGATCGCTCATTGGCTTTGTCTCAACAATGGCTAAGCATGCTCAGAAAAGGATTCTGAAGGGCACCCTCTCATCAGGAGTCTTTCAGGTACTGTTCACAGAGAGAAACACAGATTTACTGAAAAGTATATGGTTTGAAAAGATGAAAAAGGCATAACAAAGTTGTAGTGTTGGGTTCTGTGTTGTTACTAACTGAGCTACAACTATTTTAATGACAGTTTCCAGTATTATAAATGGGTTTTTAAATAAATGAATGTTAAACGAATTAATAACTCAGTAATAAGAGAAAATGAAGCAGAAATGTGGGAATTTACAAGCAAAGACTTTAATCCTGCACTTAGAAATGCTGTGTTGTTAGAGTATTTTGACTGTAGGCTTACAGTTTATATAGTGCTTTCTGTTTCTATTTTAATGACAGTTTCCAGTATTATAAATGGGTTTTTAAATAAATGAATGTTAAACGAATTAATAACTCAGTAATAAGAGAAAATGAAGCAGAAATGTGGGAATTTACAAGCAAAGACTTTAATCCTGCACTTAGAAATGCTGTGTTGTTAGAGTATTTTGACTGTAGGCTTACAGTTTATATAGTGCTTTCTGTTTTCAAAGTATCATTAGTTATTTGTCACAGAACAGTTAGTATGTTTTTTTTGCTATATATAGATTAATCTTGCACTGAAATAATGGTAATGAATCCCACACCTTTCCTGTAGTGGAGTAAGGGTGAAACTGGCTAAAACACAGATAGCAAAATCTAATCAGTTGCAGTGCAGAGAATTTCTAAGGTCCTATGTGAAGCTGAAGATAAACGTCTTCATCTCCATTGTAGTATCTGCAGTGTATCACATGACAGATGCAGATGAGTGAATCCTCACTGTACATGTTTTGTTAGTCTTTAAAATGCTACTAAACTATTAGGCTGTGTCTACACTGGGTCACTTATTCCGGAAAAGCAGCCGCTTTTCCGGAATAAGTTGCGAGCTGTCTACACTGGCCGCTTGCTTTTCCGGAAAAGCAATGACGATCTACTGTAAAATTGTCAGTGTTTTTCCGGAAAAACTATGCTGCTCCCGTTCAGGCAAAAGTCCTTTTCCGGAAAAACTGTTCTGGAAAGGGCCAGTGTAGACAGCACAGTAGTCTTTTCTGCAAAAAAGCCCCGATCGCGAAAATGTTGATCGGGGCTTTTTTCCGGAAAAGCGCGTCTACATTGGCCACGGACGCTTTTCCGGAAAAAGTGCTTTTCCGGAAAAGCATCCTGCCAATGTAGACGCGCTTTTTCCAGAAATACTTATGACGGAAAACTGTTCCGTTTTAAGCATTTCCGGAAAAGGGTGCCAGTGTAGACGTAGCCTTAGTCTGTAATAGGAAAAAGTTAAAAAACAACAAACTCGGCTACCCATCTGAAACTTTTGTTTCCAGTATGTTACAAGTCAAGGGATTTTTTTATATTTTGAAGAGCTTTCTGTTTATTTTGTGAATAGAATCAGTGATCTGTCTGCCTCCATAAAGACAGAAATGGCTGTTCTGTGTCATACTTTTGGCCAGTCTTGCTCACTGAGATTCTGGAGCTGTTAGGGGTTCTCTGAGCCAGGACTTGTGAGTTAGATCACTGTTTTTCCTGACTGGTATAAACCATTAAAGTTCAGAACTACTGGGTCCATTGCTGGTAAAATGTGTCACCACATCCCTGTGCAGGGAGGCTGGATGCCTGTTGTCCTCAAGGCAGCTATTGTGATAATTTCTTAAATCAAGAATCGTACTTGAGGCTGACGACTTGCTTCACAAATGGGAAGTTTGATCCATCACTGGGAAGGCTGTCGTAGGAAACGTCAATTTCTTGATTCATGACAATGTAGATTTTGATCTGTTTGGTTTAGGACTGAGTTTGGGGATAGAAATACCCAAGATTATGTTGTTAGATTTGTCAGCTATCCTTGATAATACTGATCGTGGGTTTTATTGGGACACCTCTGCTTTTTAGGAGTGACTGAAGTTGGTGTGGAGTACTTCCAGCTGTCTATATTTTAGAAGCCCAAAAGAGTGGCTAGCGGTATTGTGCCTTTGTTCCAACAGTTCTTGTATGTGGAGCAGGCACAGCAGAGGCCAATTTATATTTTCTTCCTGCTCAAAATGAACAAGAAATTGCTAGGGCAGATAATGAGGAGATGTGGAGCTGCACTACATTCAGAATACTGATGATACTCAGCTCTGTATTCTCCTTGTGACAGGATCCCTGGGATGCAACTTAGGCCTGTGGAATTGTTTAACTGCCCAGACTTAGCCATCTCTCACTCAGCTTTGCTAATGACAAGCAGCAAACCCCTCCGGGTGCTGTTATCATTGAGCTGAATCACATGTCGAGCCTCATGCCTAGATAGATTGCATGAATGCTTCCAGAGCCATTCACGCATCACAAGAGAAAGGCACCAGCCAAATCCTCCCAGCCTGATACCTCAGGAATATATTGTCTTGCACTGCTCCAGGAGCTCCTGGGCTGCCCCGCCGCCGGCTTCCCCCGAGGCTTTGCAAAGCCGCATACCGGCGTATAAGACCCCGGCGCCCCTCCGCGGCTTTGCAAAGCCTGGGGGGAAGCCGGCGGCGGGGCATCCCAGGCGCGCCTGGGATGTATACCCAGCGTACAAGACGACCCCCGATTTTTGGGCGATGTTTTTTAACATCAAAAGTCGTCTTTTACGCCGGAATATATGGTAAGTAATTTCTCACATAGCTAGAAGCATTGTGTTGCTAATGCAATGACTGAAGTTGCAAGAAGATTGGAATGTGATGAGAATGTGAGACAGTCACAGAATTTAATTTGCATACTACAACTACTAATAATCCTGGAGTAATATAAAGCTTTTTCAGGGCTTAATTCAGAGGACCTGTCAGCAGTGACACAGCTGTCCATATGCCTCCTTATGCTGCTTACCACTGGACTAGATAGGTGCACATTCTGGTCTAACTCTTCCAGCTCCTCATTAAGCGCAAGTAAAGGAGGGAGTTCCTTTTTTATTTAAAGGAATATTTTATTCCTTTTGTATTTTAAACAGCAAACTGTGTGCCTAGCAAAAGGAAAGTTTGCAAACTGAAAACTGCACATTCTGCCTAATCTTCTGTTTTAGGGCCATTTTGAACCCATAGCCTTAGGAAGAGTACCCATACCCTGGAGGTCTTGGGTGGATCCTCCTAGTTCTCCCTGCAGTTGATGGCCTAGCCGTTTTTATCTTAACTCCTTTGAAGCTCTCTTTTTTGTGTCATCTGTGCTGCTTTGTTCCTTATCAAGTTTACAGCCTCCTTTCGGTATGTCTACTACATGCCACTGCCAGCAGAGGCATGTAATCTAGACATACCCTTTGATTTAATTCTTTGCTTCCAGTCAGGTAGCAGTAGAAAACCGTACAAGGACACTGACTGAGTTACACATTGTATACATAAGAATAATGCAGATATCTTCCAGTTCAATAAAAAGATGGTGCCACATAAAATTTGCATTGTTCTGTCAGTTCAGAGAATTAATAATGGTTTTGTTTCTGAAGTACCTAATGTGGCAAAACTAAAATGACATCTTATATAAAAAGATAAGTTTCTACTTATTTTAATTTATTTTTTTAAATCACAAATTATTTAACTTGTGATTTCAGCCTTAATGAAAGCTGCAGGGTTGGCAGCCCCAAGGGCTATATTTCACATATTGCATGTGTGAAGTTATCCCATTTTCAGAATATTACTAATTTAACACCTTGAGCATGCATAGCAGCAGAGCTTGTAAATGATTTCCCATTAACTTCAGTGAGAGCAGAATTTGTTTCTGATGTGTTAATTTATTTTTATCAGAGTCAGAAAAAGAAAAGGCTTGTCTCCGCAGGGCTGTCTTTAGGATTTATGGGGCCCTATGCAGTACTATTAAACTGGTGCCTCTATGTTTGATGGCAGCTGAGGAGGAGGACGATGGTTTTTTTAGAGATGTGATTTATATAATCTTCAACAACACGCTAATTAAATATTTTTAAAAAATTTTTTAAACTAAGGTCCTGTAGACTAACAAATTCATAAACTGACCGGGTTTGGCAAATGCCTGTAAAATAGCTTCATTACCACATGAATGGTTCTTCCACAGGTTCTGCTAATAGCTCTGGCAGGCTTTTTCATTTTCAGGTTAACTAAATCCTCTCCCAAGGAAGCAGAGCCAGGAACAGGAATAGAAAGAGGTAGATGGGTGGACATTAAGACCGAGTGGTACTCCAAATCTTTGAGTGTCCTGCTCAACTGCTTATTCTGCATATGGGTAAGGAGGGCTCTATGTCTCTGAAAAACCAAATACAAGACAATGTAGCACTTTAAAGACTAACAAGATGGTTTATTAGATGATGAGCTTTCGTGGGCCAGACCCACTTCCTCAGATCAAATAGTGGAACAAAATAGTCACAACCATATATACCAAAGGATAAATGGTTGTGACTATTTTCTTCCACTATTTGATCTGAGGAAGTGGGTCTGGCCCACGAAAGCTCATCATCTAATAAACCATCTTGTTAGTCTTTAAAGTGCTACATAGTCCTGTATTTTGTTTCTGAAAAACCAGGCTCTCAATACATTTAAAAGGCAGAGCCGCAGTGGGGTTAGCCCTCTTATCGACTACTAGTCAATGAAAATTCCATCGACTAGTCGATTAGTCAATTAAATTTAATATTCCTACATCCACCAATGTGATCTGTGACTATGCCATAAAGTGCCAGCAGTGCTCCTTTGCCATGTATATTTGCCAATCTCTACAACAGTGGTCTCCAACCTTTTTACACAGAAGATCACTTTTTAAATGACAGACCAAGCCAAGATCTACCGCCCCGCCCCTTTCTTGAAGCCCTGCCCTCTCTATTCTCCTCCTCTCCATCACTTGCTATCCCCAATCCTTATACTGCTGCTTTTTTAAAAAGGTTTTTCAACATTTGGAAGTGGTGCTCAGCCAGGGTGCACCACGCTCCACGTGGGCTGGTGCAGAGAAGAAACTGCCTGGCCAGCTGGCTGTGGCCTTCATCCCGGAGGAGGCTGAACCGTGCTCCAGCTGATCGGGCGGCTTCCCCTCTGCACCTGCCCTCAGCTGGAGCTAGATGCAGCCTCCCTGGGCTGAGCGCAGGTCAGCTGGGCTGGAGGGAAGAGAAGTGGCTGCCTGGCCATCTGGTGATGGTGCTCAGCCAGGGTGCACCGAGCTCCACATGGGCAGGTGCAGAGGTGAAGTTGCCGAACAGCTGGAGCTCGGTAGATCGCGATCTACTGGTTGGTGACCACGGCTCTACAACAAAGGATTAATGGACACAAATCAGATATTTGAAATGGTAACACACAGAAACCTGTTGGGAAACATTTACGCTTTTCCATGCGCTCACTAATGGATCTAAAAGTGTCTATATTATTTCAAAGCAATATCAAAGGGAAGCTGCAGAACTTGGTTTCATTTAGAAGTTTGACACCTTGAATAGAGGTTTAAGCAAAGACCTGACCTGGCTGAGCCACTACATACCACATCCTAATGAAAAGCCAAGCACCAGGTACTTAGAATACTTACCGCCCACTCTATTGGCCTCATTTAGCATGGACTAATTGACGATATTGTTTCTCCATTTTTCCCCTACTTTTTCCCTCCCCATCCTCTCTCTTTCT